AAAAGGAAATGAGTCGACAGGAACGATCGCGTGTTAAATTAGTTTTTGAGGTGGCGACACCTGATTTGATAATGTTACTGTGGCCGTGCTCAGGACGCAGATGTCTGCGCGCGTCAACGATCAGAGCTTTGCATGTGCAAGCTGGTTAAGGTTAGGATGGGGGTGAGGGGAAGGTTAAATTGCAAGAGGGTAAAGGTCACAATTTGGTTAAATGTCCGCTTTACGGCGGGTGTCAGTACCGACGCTCTGGCACAGCGCGTTGCCTCCAGACGCGCAGGAGCTTGTCACCTGCTGACAGCAGGCTGTTGTCTTTTCCGTGGACTGCATCTTGCCGGTCATTATCACGTGACAGCGACTAGTCGATGACACGCATAACAAGTCACTATAGAGCGGTGAAGTCGACTAGTGACTAGATCATACAACCCCTGCTACTGCTCCCCAGAGTGTTCTGCAGCATAATCAGCACGTTCTCTTTGAACTTAATATCAAATTTTCGCCTCCTCTTTGTCTCCGCACGGTTAAAGTTACCCTCGCGGTCTATCACTGGCAAATCAAAAGTGAGACGATGACACAACCGCCCCCCGTACTTGCTTGTTACCACATTCCACCCGGCCACAATAAAACCGGCCATTATTCACCTCTGTCGACTCCAACACCGGCCAAAATATGATACCCGGCAGGTAATTAAATACAGGCTAATAGAGGATTTACGGTATGTTAATATAAATCATCACAAAACTAAAATATTAGGTGAACAGAAATGACAAGTTACAGTTAAGTCACTTTCAAGCAACTGCATTGGTATTGGTTACGGTATCTGTTAACTTTTCCCGATACTGGTATCTGCACCGATACACATACCAGTGTCGGTATCGGTGCATCCCTATAAAAAACGCTTTTCCGTCTACTGCTCTTAATATAATTCTGACGCCTAACTAAAGCCCCACACTCGTTACATTTATGAACAGAAAGTAAAGAGAGAGCGGGATGACAGCTAAAATGTCCACCAGATTCAGAACTTGTTGCGCAGCGGACCGTCTGGCATGAATTACATAGCGCTGCTTGCGATTGCATGCCTATAAGCGCATTCTGGAGGCCATGGTTTTAATAAAAAAACCATTTAGTTTTCTTACATTGAACTAAATAATTACACTGACATTTCTTTATTTTACTAGACAATTTAGCAGACAGAAGCAAGCAGGAGCGTCACAGCACACTGACCTGTTGCTGGTCTCACTTCAGTTCCCATCGGAGTCTGATTTTCCAACCAGCTATATGTCCTTGATGCATAATCGGATATACAACACATTTTCTGGGCTTATTCGTGGTTCACTGATTAACCCACGTGTGGTAAAAATAGAGCATCCCCTAGTGGTTAAATACATAATTTCATGGCAGGCTCAGAGGACATGCTGAGTCAGAGTGAGGTGCAGATGAAGTGACCATTCGCAGTGTCCAAGGTCACAGGGTGGTTGCGACACTAGGCCAACGTGGCGCCGAATGACGCTGCTTGCAGCTTTGATTATATTTATTATGTACGGTAATGTGCCGAGTTGTCCTCTGCTCTTTCTGCTACAGACTCAACTGATGATGGATGCTCGGCACAAACACTAGCACCTAGATTAGCATTGTGCACCAATAAAAGACACATCTTCCTCACACAAGCAACGTACCTTTGTTCAATAATTGTGGCGTAATGGTACGCTAAAATCATATTCGGTTCAGTGTTTTGAAGAGCTTGGTTTGATTAATTTTTGGTATATTATTATATTTATATAATATCTGAAGCGGCTCCTAAAGTGAGCAGAAGCAGGTGTCATCACAGGCTGCTGATCTATGATGTCTTTAATTATTTCACAGGTTATTAGTGCAGCTATGAGTGTCACGCGCATACAGACACGTGTTGAGTTTGACTGTTGGTGCTCCTGTTTTAGCCTTAAAAACTCACCTCACACCACCGAGTTTCTTCTTCTCGTATAAAATAAGGAGCTTCCTCCGCGCTGTATTTCTGTAGCAGAGATTGGGCGCGTGCAGCCATCATGGGTCACTCAATACAGCGTTCGTCCAGAAACTCAGCTAGGAATTTTTATCTGCTGCACTTAAATCACGCAAATACAAATTCATCATTTAACGGAAAAAATTAACTGAAACGTATGCAAGTGGACTGAACCAAAAAGGCCGAGCCAAAGCGGTTCAACCCCAGTGAACCGTTACACCCCTTTTCACGAGGGATCAGATTTATCAGAATTGGATAATTGGTTCTTTCAACACGGCCCTAAATATGATTGTGAACGGCTGATGAGTTTTAGCCATAATACACCTGGAGATGACATCCACTTGTAAATTAGCAGGTCCTAAAGCTACACGTGAGTATAAAGCCAGTCATGCAGCTCAACATTTTATTCAATAGTTTACACCTACTACATGAGCAACCATGGCTCAATCCTGACTGGCACAATTTACATAAACCTAGGGCTGGGCGATATGGACCAAAACTTATAGCTCGATATCTTTTTGCTGAATTCCGATATATATCTCGATATTTTTCCTCCTGTAAAATATTTACAAGTTAACTCACTTCAAGCTGTCTGGAGAAATTATACATAAATCAGTAGATTAAATGCATAAAAATGTTTTGATTCTTGTCAAACTTTAACCTTAGTGCCTATTCTCTACCAGTCTGAGCTTTAGAAACGCTGGTACAGCTGTCTGCTAACACACACACACACACACACACACACACACACACACACACACACACACACACACTTACTTGAGCTAGAGGTGTATCAAATGTCCCACAGGTACTTTTTAATTATATATTCATAATTAATGTAAAAATATTTAAATTCCATCTAGAGGTGGCCGATATCGTTTATTTCTTGCCCAGAGAAAATAAATCTGTCATGTTAAACTAAATGTATGATGATGTCATTGCATCTACTGAAGGTCACATGGGTCATGCACCGTAGAGTTATTAGTTATCAGGGCAAACATGGCTGGAGTCTAACTGTTGGCTCATATCAGCGATTATACTGTAATGACTCAGTCTCTGGTTGCTCTTTTATCAGTATTATTGTCGTGCTACTGTCGCCGTAACCCACGCCTTACAAACTCTTAACTCAGGATGTTTCCTGCATTCAAATTAGCATGGCGACCGCCTCCAGCTAATGTTGTGCCGCCCCAGCCTGATTTCACTCTGCCCACCTCACACAACAGATGATGTCATTCTGTCATGTTTACAAATATTACTGCACATTATACACGCGTGTTTACCATATTACTACTGAGAGGCACAAATTCAATCAGTCAGTGTTCATTTGGGTATTTTCCAATAATGTTATTAAAACATTTATAACTAGAGATTTACTGATGTGAATTGTGTACTTTTCCTTTTCTCTACACTGTCAACTAGGTGCGGTTTCCATTTCCTTTACACAAGTTGAAAATTATTGCATTAAAGAAAAATACATATATTTTAGTCAACTAAAATAAGAAGTTTCTTTTGAACTTTAGTGAAAAGACTTAAACTAAAACTAAACAAAAATGGCTGAGAGCACGTTTTAAAGCATTTGCCAGCACCACCACTGCAGTCGAACGGAGAGCCCAGGGACCTCGTAATCTGAGCTAGCGTCACATTCTGTGAATCAGATGCCCTTGTGGACTTATTTGGACACTGGCTGACATCCAGCAGACCCAATGCACTCACAGTCCCCGTGTATGCTGGTAATCTGCCCTCTGGCCGTAAATCAATGCCAGTCACCACCACTCACCCTAACGGCCACGCCACCATTTATCTTTATTAGCTAATGATCTGAACAGTTGTTCAGCTTCTATAAAAACCCACCAGGGTTAGAGGTTTGTGCAGGACACTTTTAGTCCGGAGAAGGGACGGCCAGGCGCTGCTGGGACTCTGAATGGTACACTCCATTGTTAAAATCGTCACTTGGAAGTAAAACAGCACTAATGATAATTTTACTCAGATTTCTACAATCCTCCGAGGCACGTGTCAGACAGATTTGGGGGCAAAGGTCACGAACATTTTCAACCCTCCCTTCCCATTCTCCTGTGTGTGTGTGAAGGCAGCAGGAGGTTCCGACCCATCTGATAGGTGGAGCCCTCAACCAATCAGAGGCGATGGGAGGGGACTTCCCATGTAATCAGAAATGTGACCGGGCTCCCTCCAACAGCAGAACTTTGGGTCGGCACTAACAAAATGGATAAAGGTGTCTGGACCGTCATGGGACCCTGTTTGTGTTCCCAAGAAGCGAACCGGATCAGTCTTTAGTTCCGTTTTCCTCCGGACACCCACCTGTTTCCCTCATTATAACCGGATCCGTTATCTGGCGCCTCCGGTGGCTGCGGCAGCCGGGCGGGGGCCACATGCTCCTCAGACCCCCAGCGGAGTGGCGCAGAGTAAAATCGCTGCATTCTCCGGAGATCAGCAGAATTTCCATCGTGTCTGTCGTATTAAACCCAGAGAACCGCATCACGAGAAACTGGGCCTCACCATCGGTCCCGCTAACAAAACACTCCAAGCCCACCCCACTTCTACAGCTAAGCTAATACAACACTTACAAACCGCACCCGGGACCGTCCAGCGAGACAGAACAGAGGGTTTCTACCTTCTGTTCCCGAAGCAGCCGTGTGCAGGCCAGCCTGCTGCCCGGTTGTAGCTGACGGGTCCAGCAGCAGCACGATCGCTGTACTGGTCACAGCCCACAGCCTCAGAATGAATGACTCAGCTCAACAGAGCCACACTTTAAAAGGGGAGGAGGCCATTTTCGCTCACGTTGCTAGCCAGATTGGTGGGTGACGGCTAGGCCACAGACAGGTTCGCTAAGCTGCTGAGGGGAAACCAACAGGAAAACAACATTTCTGAACGCTTATTTGGTTATTTAACACTAAACCGCGAAGCCATGATGGACTCAGCCGCTGTTACCGCGAAATTACGCTCGCATGCACGGAAAGACATGAACTCAACCCAGTAGGACTCAAACCTTGGGATGGTGCGGAGGTCCCCGGTCCCCTTGGTCTCATCCTGCCGAGAGAACCACACCTCCAACAGCTTCTCGGTCCCTTCGAAGAAATGTGCACCGTTTTCCTCCATCATGAGACAACAGACGCCCAACAAAAAGGTGTAAACGTTGTTCGCAACGTTTGTATGTTAATAAATCCTTTCTCGATTGACTATAATTTATTGAGGTACAGTCATTAAAGTAATTCTGATGTTAATTTTCTTAAGTTACCGCGTTCCCTTTTGCAGAGAATACAGTTAGCGAGCGCTAGCTAATATCGCCGGCCATACTGTGTAAGCACCGAACGAGCCGCGGACAGCTCTTTTATAGCCTCAAGACTTACGTCACAGTGGATTGACCAATCCGCTTGTATGAGTAGAGGTTGTCCATTGTGATTTGTTGAGGAACCTTCCAATCGCACTGGAGACTGATTTTCCTCACGTGCCATTTTATTGCCACAAGAAAATAAACGTGGTAGGACCGTGTAAACAGGACAGAAAGCGAATTAACTTCATATAATGTTAACACACGTGTTTGCATCGTTAAATGCTGTTATTGTGAGTTATTTGGTTTTCATAGCTTGGACAAAATAATTAAAAATAGTTATTTATATCCCCCAAAAGACAACGTGGTCTGGGACAGCAGCAGTGTGTTTCCAAAATGTATGTTCTAAAAATGACCTGGAGATATGATCACAGGCTATGTTGTTGAACCGCTCACCTCGGGAACAAAAGCGTCCAACACAGAAGTCTGGACCACTAGCGAGCCGAGCACTCATGCGGACCCGTAGGGAGCGGGAAACGCGGGTTGTAGTTTTTCTCATTCTAGTTTCACAGCTAGTGAGTCGCGACGAGAGCTCAGAAGACTCCATTACCCAGCAAGCACTGCGCCCCAATTAGAAGCGTCAACGATCCAGTGAACACAGCGGAGCAGACCAAAATCCCAAACAAGGAAATGGTGGGGGAATAAAACGAGCAGATTATTTAATTAATGCGTGTAATAATTAATATTTTATTTTGTTGTAATTTAAGTCGTCTTTATGGGTTAACATGGATTACGACTTCAAAACAAAGCTGGCAGCCGAGCGGGAGAGAGTAGAAGATCTGTTCGAATATGAAGGTTGCAAAGTGGGTCGAGGCACCTACGGACACGTTTATAAAGCTAAGCGCAAAGACAGGTAAGACCACCGAGGTCCGGTTCCGTTCGCCCTGCCGGTCTCACGGTGCGTTTGGGTTCACACGGGCCGCGCTGGTGTTGGACGGGCGGCAGACCGAACCTTCCAGAGTGTGTCTGTGTTTTTGTTTTCATCTAACACACACACACACACACACACACACACACACACACACACACACACACACACACACACACACACACACACACACACACACACACACACACACACACACACACACACACACACACACACACACACACACACACACACACACACACACACACCTCTAGCCGCGCTCCTGTCCCAACACGTTTCACCAGAGATGTTTGTGTTCTGACGTTAGCTCTGTGTCTGTTCACCGGACCGCGGTGTCCCTGCTTACAAAACGGCGGGATTCCTCCGGTTTGACCGTAGACAGGTTGTGTCCCTGTGGCTTCTGTCCCTGGGACAGGACCTGTGTGTCCCTGTCTGCTGGCCCGGCCGCTGAGGGACCTGCTCTGTTATCAGTCCCGGTGAATGTTCGTGTGCCAAAGCTCTACTCCGATCTGCATAAAAGCAAAATATCATTTCCAGCTGGTGGGGGGGGGGGGGGATAACACGTCTCACCTTTATGTTAATATTGTTTTATTTGATGCCCTCCACTCTGAACTGCACCAATCCAGCAACTGCTGCATTTTAATAACTAGTATTAAAGGTGAATACACCAATATTTGCACAAGAATAATTTTAGTTTTAAACTCTCAGTGACACACTTTGCAGGGGGAGGGGGGGTGGCATTTAATTTTTCGTCTGGAAAAACATCTCCTTCTGCCCCCTTTATTTTGGTCCAAGACCATTACTGGGCTGGCCCTATTAAACACCTTCTACACCCCTGCTTAGTAGACTTAATGAAGTATTTTTAAGCCAGTATAAAAATGACTGAAACACAAATTTACATATTTGGCATTATTGACCAATATCTTTGATTTAATTTATTTGTTGAGAACATCAAGATGCATTACAGTGAACATTATAATAAAGTACATGTTTCTAGTGCAGAGAGGAGACAACCCATAGAAGCACTGGTCTGATCTCATTTCAGAGAAAACTAGAACAGGTCAGATGCACCTAATAAATAAAATTACTAACGTAAACTCAGGAATCTTGTTTCTTTGCTTCATTGTTCTGGTGCTGGAAACATCACTAATGCGGATCAAAGGAGACACACAGATGAATGCACCTCTTATTTATTATTTGGAAATTAGTGGGTGTTGTTTACATCAATACATTATTTTAAATCTGAAATTGATATGGATTGATCAGAAGTTGCTATGTGTGTATTGTTTATCTGAAAACTATTTACAGAGCAGCCTCAGAACTGAGATTAAATATGTTTGATCACAATAGTAAAGAAACTGTTACAGAACAAGTTTTTCAGTAAAATCAGAACATTATTTATTTATTTATTTATTTATTTAACTTATGTTTTTTCAGGAGGATAAACTGCTTGAGATGTAACATCTCGTTTTCGAGCAGGTCCTCCTACAACACAACCAATAACAAATAAGGTGGCAGAGTTAGAAAGTTGTAACAGAAATAAAAAAAAAAAAGGGGAAAGTAAATAATAGTAAAATCAACGATATGTATAAATGTATATATATACACACGTAAATATAAACACATAAGCAAGGATACATAGATACCAACAAGTGTACATACGTACATACATACCTATATACCAAATTAAATTAAATAAAACTGCTGTGAGGCACTAAAAGAGAAATAAGGGCAAGAAATTACATTATAAATAAATCTAAAGTGAAGTAGTATCCCAATTGAATACAAAGTTTGGCAACGAAATACAGCATGTTAGCCATTGAATGCACAAAATCATCATAGTAAAGATTAAACAAAGCAACTACAGCTTGGCTTTACATAAGCATAAACAGTGCGGGAAAATTTACGAATTGTTGAGATGGATCTTAATTCAGCGGGTAATTTATTCCAGTCCTGAGGAGCTTTAACACAAAAGGCGAGTCTACCCACCTCCTTTTTAAAACGAGGAACAACAAATGATGGAAGAGTAGTTAAGCGGGTTGAATACAAGGAATCAATGGGAACCAAAAGTGTTTTTAGATAAAGTGGAAAATCAAAATAAATGCACTTAAACATAAATATCAACCAATGAAATTGTCGTCTAGCTTTTAAAGGAAGCCAACCAAGAAGATCATACATATAACAATGATGAGTGTTAAATGAACACCGCAAAATAAAACGACACAAACTGTTATAGACGACATCAAGAGACCGCAGGCTAGAAACTGTTGAGTTTTGGTATAAAATATCAGAATAATCAATGATCGGTAACAGAAGCTGAGTGACGATGCACTTTCGAACAATAGGTTCAAAGCAATTTATTGAGTTATAAAGGATACGTAAACACCGTGTGACCTTAAGACATGTTGTGTGAATGTGAAATTTAAAAGACAGCTCTGGCTCTAGCCAAACTCCTAAATATTTCATTTTAACAGACGGTTGAACCGGGGAGGAATCCAAAAAATAAAGATTAAGAGTCCTGTCACTGTCAGATAGAGTTCTACTTCTGTGAAACAGCATGGAGTAAGTCTTAGATTTATTTAAAAGAAGTTTGTTCTGCATTAGCCAGAGCTGCACCTTGTCAAAATTAGGCTGAATAGCTTCTTGTAATTCGGATTAACTCGACTTAGAACAGTATAAGACTGTGTCATCTGCATATAACTGAACAGAACAGGATCTGCAGCACTGTGGTAAATCATTAATAAAAATTGAAAATAATAATGGCCCAAGTGAGGAGCCTTGGGGAACACCTCTGATGACACCACGCATGTTTGATTCAGAACCATTAAAGGAAACAAATTGAGAACGATGATGAAGAAAAGAACTAAACCACAGTAGAGACGGCCTTGACAGACCAAAAGCATATAATTTATCTAAAAGTAGATAGTGATTGACGAGGTCAAAGGCTTTTGTTAAATCAAGAAAAATCGCACCACCAAATAAATTATTGTCAAAACCAGAATAGATGTCATTAGAAAATTTGAGCAGTGCAGTAGTTGTCGAGAAGTTTTTTCTGAACCCCGATTGGTACTGTGATAGTAGGTTGTTATCCTCTAAGTATTTAGATAGTTGGATAAAAACCAGTTTTTCAAATACTTTAACAACTGTATTAATTATAGCAATGGGTCTATAGTTATTAGGTTCAGATGTATCATTTCCTTTATGCAGTGGTATTATTTTAGTACATTTCCAAGCTTTTGGAACAGAACATGAGTTAATTGAATGATTAAAAAGAATAGATAATGGTAAGGCTAGAACATCAGCAGCTATCCTAACAAAGCGACTCTCAATGCCATCTGGACCTGCAGCATTCCCACTAGAGAGAGACAGTATAACTTTACGCACTTCCTCAGAACGAATTTCAGAAAAAGAAAATCCACTGGAGCAACAGTGAGGCAGGGTGTAAGACCCATGATGTTCTGCAGAGGCAGGGAGAGGAGAGGAAGCAAAGTGCTTACTGAATGCTTCAGCAATTTCAGCCGGGTCATTAATAAGACTCCCATTAACATTCAGATGTGAGATTTTAACATTAGTTTTCCCCCTCAGGTCTTTAATTTTATCCCAGAAGCGCTTAGGGTTATTGATATCCTTATGCAAAGCATTCTTATAAAAATTAGCTTTAGCATTCCTAGTCTGGGTAGTACAGAAGTTCCTTAGTTTTCTATAAACTGTCCAATGCTCATGCAGATTGCTAAGTTTTGCTACTTTCCACGCTTTGTCGCGCTTCTTAAATAAAGCAATTAAATCATGAGAAATCCAAGGCAAATGGCTGCCCTTAATTTTTACACTGACCCAAGGAGCATGTTTATCAAGAACCTGCATGAACTGAGAGTGGAAAAATGCCCAAGCATCATTAACATCAGGTATAAGAAACAATCTATTCCAATTAAGAGAATGCAGCTCCTGTAAATACTGATCAGTATTAAAAGTATGCAAGTCACGAAGTCTGATCATCTTAGCTGGTGTATGTGGTAAAGATATTTTCCAGAAGCAAAAAATAACAGAATGATCACTAAAACAGTTGGGCAAAATGCCATAATCAGAAAATCTGTCTGGGTGAGTTACTAATATCCAGTCAATGAGAGAAGAGTTTGTGGCACAAGTCCTAGTTGGCTCTGAGACCAGCTGTGTCAGATTTGAGCTATTTAAAAGAATACGTTCTGGAAGAGTAGATTCATCAAGCCAGTTAAGATTGAAGTCGCCAAGTAAGATCAATTCCATTGAGTCCCCCAACGAATCAACCGTTGCTAGTAAATTTTGTATTGCTTCAAGTCTAGGGGAGGAGGGGGGGCGATAGATGTTGCCAATTATAATGTGCTTATTTCCATTAAAAGAAATTTTAGTAAAGATGGCTTCGAAGTGAAGTGGTTTGACTGTCGGGACAATAACCTGAGACTGCAGACTAGAGGAGACATAAGTGGCAACCCCGCCACCCCTTGTCCCTCTATCCATTCTATATAAAACAAAGTTGTCAAGAGAAATATCATTGTCAGAAATGTTATCATTCAACCATGTCTCAGACAACGTAATTATTTTTGGTTCATTATAACCAAGCCATGCTTTTAATAAATCAGTTTTAGGAAATAAGCTTCTTATATTGAGATGGATTATGTGTAAACCTTTACCCATAACAAGAAAAACGAGGTACAAAAATAACCCTCACAGCAGGCAGATACAGAAGAAAATCTAAAACAAAAATAAACAGAAAAAAAAGAACAAAATATAATAAAATTACACGGAAATTAAATGAGTTATCACTCATAGTCCAGAAAGTCTCAGATCTGAGCCCATGGCCTGCAACCTGCTCAAAGCACAGCCACCTAAACTAATAAAGATTGCCATAACTCAACAAGGTGGCTGGATTTTATCAATATAAGTAAATAAGAATAAAGTAAGGATAATTTGACCTTAGACGAAATTTGATTTCACCGAACAAGAGGAGAAGCAAAAACAAAAAGGAATTACCTACTCTGCGGAAGAGCCAGAATTAGAATAATAAAAGAAAGAGGAAAGTCACAAGTCCGCCCTCCGCAGGTGCTCGTACACCCAAAACCTCTCAGGGCATCTCAACCCAAAGAGTCCAGGTGACTTTCAGCAGCCACTGGGTCTGTAAAAAGCAGATGATCACCATCAGAGATTATCTTGATGCTTGCAGGATAAAGAAGAAAAGCTTGTAGTCCCAAGGCGCGAGCCCAGTTCAAAACCGGGAAGCAGCGGCGTCTCCGACGAGCTGTTTCATCGCTGAAACAGCATGGAGTAAGTCTTAGTGCAGAGAGGAGACGACCCATAGAAGCACTGGTCTTATCTCATTTCAGAGAAAACTAGAACAGGTCAGATGCACCTAATAAATAAAATTACTAACATAAACTCAGGAATCTTGTTTCTTTGCTTCATTGTTCTGGTGCTGGAAACATCACTAATGCGGATCAAAGGAGACACACAGATGAATGCACCTCTTATTTATTATTTGGAAATTAGTGGGTGTTGTTTACATCAATACATTATTTTAAATCTGAAATTGATATGGATTGATCAGAAGTTGCTATGTGTGTATTGTTTATCTGAAAACTATTTACAGAGCAGCCTCAGAACTGAGATTAAATATGTTTGATCACAATAGTAAAGAAACTGTTACAGAACAAGTTTTTCAGTAAAATCAGAACATTAATATTTAAGTGCATGAATTAATGCATCTGAACTCATGCAGTAGGAACTAGGAAATATTAAATGCTAGAACCATTTTATTTTCATTTGATTAAACTGATTTTTTCCTAACGTTGTTGGAATTTTCCCCACACACAGTTAAACAAAACAATGTTGAATATATTTAACCCTTCGAAGGATGCAGACCCTGAACTGAGACACAATGGTAGACTTAGCATTTGTTTAGCTTTGTTGCAGCTTTATGAACAATTTGCACCAAAACAAAGATCGAACTGATAACGTTACACCAAAGTACTAACAGTGCTATTCCTTAGCATGCTACGTCTTTAACTTCTTATTTGTTTACATTTTCCACACAACCAGTTTCATTCACTGAACAAAAATGTACAGACAAGGTCAATCACCCATGTGGTCCAAGAGGAACCCAATGGGCCCTTGAGGGAGGGGTTAGGGAGAGGACGTTACTGACCAATCAGAAGACAGAGCAGATCAGCCACAGGCCCTGCCTCCAGCATGCCAAAAGTCTAGCAGTCAAGCGAGCGAGGACTCGGTAACCAAGTGTGCAGTGAGGGTGCCGCAGACATTTTTGTCACGGCCATGTGCTTGTTGGCCAACACGTGCATGGACGGTTAGAGTTATGGGCTCGACACACGGGAGGCGACATCGCCTCTCCTCCATTCATTTTCAATGAGACATGCGTGACAAAGCGATAATCGCGGGTCTCCCTCCTACCAAGCGAAACGCGAAAAACGTGCGTGTGAATTTTTGCGCTCGTGCACGTGTCGTGCACAGGCGACCCAGCGACGCGATCCCAAAAAGTTGAAACATTTTCAACTTTTCATCGCCGTCGCTCGGACGAGGACCAATCAACGGAGGTTTCATCCACTGACCAATGAGCGGACAGGATGCTCCGCACATCTCCGAGCAAACATGGAGGAGAAGTTGATTATTATTATGTTTTATAGTATAATCAGAAGTAAGATTTCACATAACTCTAGCAGCACCTTGTGAAACATCATATCTACCGCTTTATTAACTCTGAACCGCTTAAATAACCTTAATTCCCTCCAACCTGACACAGCCAAGCAAAACAACGGAAGTTTCGATTTCTCCATGGAACAGAACACGTAGACGGCTTTGCCGCTGCCGCGGATCGCCTCCCGTGTGTCAGGTAATAAAAGCGACGGTGACAAATTTCGCTGATTGCGGTCGTTTGTCGCCTCCCGTGTGTCGAGACACTTACAGTCACTGTGCAGATGCTCGTGCACTGCAGACACTTTACTCTCTAACCGTGCACAAATGCCCTCTCGCAACATATGTTTTCACTCAAGAGTTTTGTTGCATGCCTTCACAAACCACATGCACAAGTTTTGGCACTTTATAAACACCATAGCCAGGAGGTCCCTCACTGCTGCACAAAACTAGTCATGTTAATAATAAGTGTAAATATGTCTAATATGATTACAGTCAGCCCTGTTCAGTCATGGTCCAACTCTAAAACACGGGTAGATTTATTCTGTTAGTCATTGTGGAATAGAATACTTTATTTATTTTAGTAATTCATAACGTGAATGTTACGTCATTGATTCCACTTAGAAATGTTGGTCTCTACATCTGGCCAATCCCCGAGGGGCTGATGTTCGAACAGCACCTGCCGCCTGGGGGCAACTTTCAGGGGTGGAGTTGAGGGTAGCTGCCAGAGGTTATGACGGTAGTTACACTCGTTTTGTTCCCCGAGTACTCTTCATACTTTTATACTCAACACCAGGAGACCAAACCAGTGAGGTGGAAACCTTGACAATCAACTAACATTGCTTTTATTTTCTCTTCTCTCTGCAGGAAAGATGAGAAGGAGTATGCACTGAAACAAATAGAGGGCACTGGAATATCGATGTCTGCCTGCAGGGAAATCGCTGTAAGTTGTAGTTTTTGTTCCTTGAGACTCTAGCATAGCAGTTTGAGTCTGAAGGGTTTTTAGTCTCAGTCTGGAGGCTGTAAAACCTGCAGTGAAGCCACAATCATAGCATCATAGGACAGTGGGTACAAGAAGTATTCAGACCCCCGTCAATGTTTCGCTCTGTTCTAGTGCAGCCATTCGCTAAAGTCAATTAGTTCACGTTTCCTCATTAATGTACACACAGCACCCCTCACTGACAGAAAAACACAGACTTTTAGAAACTTCTGCAGAGTTCTTAAAAAAGACAAACTGAAACATCACACGGTCCTAAGATTCAGACCCTTTGCTCAGTGTTTACCAGAAGCACCTTTGCAGCTAATACGGCCACGAGTCTTTTTGGTAAAGATGCAACAAGTTTCATACACCTGGATTTGGGATCCTGTACCACTCCTTCTTGCAGATCCTCTCCAGTTCTGGCAGGTTGGATGGAGAAGATTGGTGGAGCCATTTTTAGGTCTCCAGGGATGCTCAACTGGTTTTAAGCCAGGTCTCTGGCTGGGCCATTAAAGAACAGTCACAGAGTTGCCGTGAAGCCACTCCTTTGTTATTTGAGCTGTGTGCTTAGGGTTACGTCATGTTGGAGGGTAAACCTTTGGCCCAGTCTGAGGTCCTGAGCGCTCTGGAGAAGGTTCTTGTCCAGGATATCCCTGTACTTGGCCGCATTCATCATTCCCTTGATTTCAACCAGTCGTCCTGTTCCTGCATCTGAAAAACACCTCCACACCATGATGCTGCCACCGCCATGCTTCACTGTGGGGACTGTATTGGATAAGTGATGAGCAGTGCCTGGTTCTCCACACATAAAGCTTAGAATTAAGGCCAAAAAGTTCTATCTTGGTCTCATCAGAGCAGAGAATCTTATTTCTCACCATCTCGGGGTTCATGCGAGCTTTCATGTGTCTTGCACTGAGGAGAGGCTACCGACGGGCCACTACCATGAAGCCCTGACTTAGGAGTGGAAAACACGTGAGGTAAACATGAGTGTCACAGCAAAGGGTCTGAGTACTTAGGACCATATTTCAGTTTTTCTTTTTTAATAACTCTGCAGAAATGTCTAAAAGTCCGTGTTTTTCTGTCAGTAAGGGGTGCTGTGTGTACATTAATGAGAAAACCATGAATTTAATTGGTTTTAGCTAATGGCTGCACTAGAACGGAGTGGAAAAAGTGACGTGGGTCTGATTACTTCCTGCACCCACGGTATCTGTAACTGAACCCATCCTGAGTTAAGTCAGAGTGTAAATCTACCGACCAGCCATGAGTACAGCTCACAGACTGGTAGATGGTTTTAAAGTGGGCTTGGAGTCGATATCTTGGTGAATCTGCTGAGGTCTCTAGGATAACTGAACGTCTCGTGAGTCGTTCTCTTTGGGAAAAGCTCTGGCGCTCCTGTGTCAGGAAGTAGACGTTGGTTAGAGGAGTAGGGAGCTGAAATCGTCACCGGGCTTACTGCCTATGTTCACGTTTCTTTCTTGGGTAAAAAAAAAAAAATTCTACGTTGATGTTTTATCTGCGCAAAAAACACGCCTGAATGTGTCCCGTCATGTCGTGGTTAGCTTCTACTAGCCGTGACGCACTCTGCTGTCTCCTGGCTGCTAAACCAATACATCTTTCCATGGTTGCAAGCAGAGGTGAGTAAGTCCACGGATGCACATATTTCCCTGTGACATAAAAGGGACCGGCTCCTTCTGACGAGGCTGATTCCCCGTCTACTTCTCCCCATGCTGCTCTAAACTCTCATCATCCAGTTGATTCCGTGGCTGCTACTTAGCCACACAACAGGTAGATGACAAGATTCAGATACATTCTTTTTCACCCTCCATCCATTTGTACCGCTTATTCAAGTTTGATATCTCAAAGGTAACACGACCACAGGGAAAGCCAAGACCTTCCTCTTTCCAGCTCCCTCTGTTGGTTCCCAGGGCGCTCCCAGGATCTAGCGAGTTCTGGGTCTTCCTGGGGTCTCCTCCCAGTGGGATTTGTCTGGAAAACTTACAGAAGGAATTTCAGTTCAGATGCCTGAGCTGACGCCTTTTAATGTAAAGCAGCGGGAACTACTCCGAGGCTGGTGAAGCTCCTTACCCGATCTTCGAGGCACCCTACTGATCTTGTTCTTTCTGTCATGATCCACATGTCATGGTAAATGGTAAATGGCCCGTATTTGATTTAGCGCCTTCTAGAGTCCTGGAACCCCCCAAGGCGCTTTACAACACAATCACACACTAAGTTAAAATAGCCCAAATGGCTCAGTGGAGGTAGCTGACTTTAGGCCACAGATTATGGACCATAATGAAAGCTGGAAAAAGGTCTAGTCTATTTATTACGAGTTCCTGTTGCAAGGTATGGAGAGCCAAAAGTGACACAATTCAATAAATAACAAAAGCAGTAAATAATTTTTTATAAATGTAACATTAAATATTTAATCACATGAACCATGAGTAAAAGTATTCATTTAAATTACAAATAGATGCTTGATGATTTATTTCATGGTTTGTTCATCATGATGTTATTTCCAACAACCATCACAGTCAGTGAGCGAGGCCTCAGGCTGAACATGGCAGCTTACATGCTATATATTTATGTTTTACGAGGACAAAACCACTAGAGATGACACATCTGCTTTTCTGTGTCAGAGTCTTTTTACTGACTTGGTTAGAGATGTTTAAGCCTAACAAATAAGACAGTAGCTGACTCAGAATCAGCGGTGAAACAGTACAAGAGGAAATTCCTCACTGATAGATACTGACTACAGAGTACCTGTAGAAGTACTCCTGCGTGGGCTTCGTCTCTGGGGCGTGTTATGTACAGATGTGTTGCCCAGTGGACATAAAAATAATCTTTTTTTATTGTCTCTGTAGTCCAAGGTGTAGTGTTTTAGGAGAACAGCTAAACAGAAGATGTTGTTTTAATCCACTGCAGCAGGTAAAAGCGTCTGGTTGGCTCAACATCACTATTACAGTTTCTCCTCAGTTCACTGGTAGAGATCTTTATTATTCTACGTTCATATTTTTATGCTTTATTAGGAGAACACCCTGGGGCTGTAACTGTAGTATGTTCAGAGAAGTGGGGACACCGTTTGGACGGTGTTACATATTTGTACATAACACCCTGTACTGATGAAGCACTACTGACGAGATGTTGTCAAACAGGAAATTCCTCATTAAGTTCCGGTTTTACCAGATTCTGCTTTATCTGTCAGGGTTAAGACAGACCCTGTAAGGAACCTTTCATAAATGGAGCCGCCATGTTTATCAGAATTAGCTCCACCCACTGACTGATGGGTGAGGTTGACAGAAACCTAACCTGCTGATGTGTGATTGGCTGTTGCTGCCGCCTGTGTACTCGAGGGTTCTGCATTTCTGCCTCTAGGCTGTAGTTTTATACATTTTTTTTATACTTACTGTAAAGACCTCCGCCACCCACCCGGTCCTCATGCCGTCCCCCCCCCCCCCCCCCCCCCCCCACATCCCAACTTCTAAAGTCAAAACTATGTCCATGACCCAGTTCACCCTTCTGTTAAACATTAAAGGAGACATATCATGAAAAATCCACTTTTTTAGCCCCTAAGTACAGCATGTTGTGCATTTTAAGTCTCTAGTTGTGCTAAAAATTTTTTAAAAAAGTCACTTCAGGTGGTATTAAGAAGTTTTAGTATAAAGTTTTGGTCATATTTTTTTTACCTGTTCAGTTTTCTCTCATTTTTATTACGTTTTATTCTCTTTATTCGTCACGATAACTGCCAAATATGTATATCAGGGTATCCGCGGGTCCTTAAAAAGTCTTAAATTAGCTTTTCCTAATTTAAGGCCTTAAAAGTCCTTAAAAATGACAAATAATCCTTAAATCCAGTTTCCAAAGGTCTTAAATGACCAAAGACCCAATAAACAAGATTCTTTTATTTCTATAAAAATTTCGTGAATTTCTGGTTAGTGTTCAGCATTTTTTGTGTACGATGTTGGCGTGAGCGGAACCGTACGCAGTCAGTTGGTTGTGAAAGGGGGCTATTTTTAGATGAGCACATTAGCTGGTTAAACTAGTGGGAGCTTGCGCCATGGGGAAGTGCAAGTTTAATGGTAACTGGATGGCTAATCCCACGTTCGCGACGTGGTTAGCACCGGTTCCAGGCAATAGCTGGAAATTATCGCTTAAATTTAAATTTTAAAATAGCTTAAATTTGGTCAAAGTGGCCTTAAAAAAGGTCTTAAAAAGTCTTAAATTTGGGTCCCTTAAATCTGCAGATACCCTGGTATATGAGCTGTTGTGAAAAGCGCTTTATAAAACGTATTTATTATTATTATTAATAAATATGGTCAGGGACTTCCAGCTAAACACAAAGCCGATCAGCCATTTTTCTTCTCGCTAAGATTTTTGTGGTCCAGTTGGAAGAATGCAGAATGTCTGGTTATTTGAGACACACTGAGCATGCTGCTGCTGCTGCTGTTTGTATCGCTGGCTGTGACGCACATAACACACAAGCTTGCAATATAAAGCAGGACAACACCTGTCCCCCTCCAGCTCGGCTGCGTGACCCTCACCATGTGACCCTCATGTCCATGCTGTCTCTGGAGGAGCAGATAGGAGACAAGACCTCCTGTAACCTAAAATGAACCAAAGCTTCCTCCCAGTTTCTCTTTAAGCTGAATTTAACATCAGTTTATCTTCATGAAACAAAAGAATAAAGTGGAACCAGAACTTCTATCTTCTATTTCTCTCTTCCTTTAACTTCTCCGTGTCCCTAAATAAAAGAGACAGATGGTCACGCTGCAGCCGCCGTCACTGACCCCGCCCCCTCCCCAAGACCGGATCTCCCGACATCACAGCACTCGGTCTGACTGAGCGCTTCCAGGAGAAACAATAATGAAATTATGAAAATAATAACGCGTGTTTGGAGAAGCGTCCTCCGACCCTCTCTCATGTGAGCACACAATCTCTCTCTCTCTCTCTCTCTCTCTCTCTCTCTC